GATAAAAAAGATAAATAGGTAGGTAAGGTGCAAAGAGTTGTAGTTGCAAGATGGTGGTAATAGTACTGATGACATGATGGTAGTGTTATTGTTAATAACAGTATATAATGATAATATTAATAATATTTATAATAATATAATAATAATATGTATATATAATGACTGATATCTATATATATAATATATAATATGATGTCTTAGGCGCTTTTTACAATGTTGTGTTGTAACCATTGACAGTATATTGTTGTAACAAAGTGCAAATATATCGGCAAAGCTACATTAATACTAATTAATTTAAAATAAATCAATAAGATCCTGTGCGATTCCTGGCTTTTTTTTAATATTCAACTAGTAACTATAATTTTCTGTGGGTGAACATTATTATAATCACATGGCTTCCATCACATCACATGAAAAATAGTATTCATCAGCCTCTCACATTAGTAAAATATATTTTGAATCTCACTTTAAAAATGAATGCAGCCATGAGAAAGAAACAGCTGCAAGAAATAAATAGGCCTACACACACTCTATCTTGCCAGTGTTGGCAAATACATTAGAGTATCATCTGATGAGCCTTAAGAAAGGCATGTCATCACTTCATCAGGACAGATGAGAAGTTCAACAGTTTGTTAGTGTCGGGACACAGCCAAGACTTTAAGAGTGTTTTGACAAACCAAACCCTCTCAGATATAGTCATACTTAGGAGATCAGGTGGCTGTGCTAGTCTAAAGACGGTCATTTGCTTTACATGATTTTTGTTGCTTTTGCACTCCAACCAACATCAATCAATGTAATCATAGGATGTGCAGCACATCTCCATATCCAAACACAACCACATTCAATGAGCAAAAACATTCTGTTACAATAGGTGAAACAAAACCAACAAATGACTTTAAAAAAAATAAAGCATTTAAATAACAAGATGTTAATAAGAATTATACACATAATCAGTACCCTCGGCTCCTTCAACTTTTTTATACACAGTGGATGTAACTGGGCTTTTATGACAGTGATAAACAGAAAAATATTACATAATGTCAATGCATCACACAACTGACACAACTAAATCCTCGCTGGTGAAGCCAATTGTTTTACAATGTCACAAATTGATACCCTATGCGTAGCCAAGGTGTGACAAGTGATTTCAACTTAAACATACCTGCAAAGTGCAAAAATCCCAAAGACAAAGAAACATTCAATGCATCAGTGCACAATGTATAAGTATACTCTTTTATATAAACTACTGTTAACAAAAAATCTGAATATCTTAGCTAGTGTTTGCCAGAAGGTACAAGGAAGTGTCTAAAACAAAGTCTGATTCTTTGGTCTGATGAGACGAGATGAGCTTTCATCATACTAAGAAATGTTTGATGCAGACATTACCAGAAAAGCACTACACCCACCATGAAGTTTGTGGTGGTGGTAGTATTGTGCTGTAGGTATGATCAGCAGCAGCAGGGAGACGTTACAATGAATGCAGCAAAATACAGATAAATAACAGAAGAAAACCTGCTGCCCACCTACCTCTGATAGTGAACTGTGACCTGAAGTACAATGTAATTCAGAATAAGACCACCCAGAGCATAAAGCTAAAGCCTCCCAGTCTTTACAACATAGGCTAAAGACAATAATAACTGCCATGGGTCAAATATTGATGAATACTTAAGCAACCTGTTACTTTGTTTTTTATTTTTGTGCTTAAGATTTGAGATATTTGTTTTACACTTTGGTATTAAGGTCTCTTTCTGTTGATCTTGGTCAAAAATGTCCAATTACATCAACTGTGATACAATGTTGTAAAACACTAAACATTGGAAAAAACTCAGAGGGGGTAAATACATTTTATGTGCACTGCACCTCACATAATAAATCATGGTAATTACATTACATCCAACTGGATATAAAGCTCAAATAATTACAGTGTAATCACAGCAACTCAACTGATCAGGCATCCAAACAAAATACACAAATAATTCTGGCATTTGAAAAGTCTTGTGTGATAAAGTCACAAACTTAATAAAAGGTACATTAGACATAGTTTATCCCTTGAAAACACCCAGCACACCTTTGGGATTTGTTAAGTTTTCAGAGATTTCCAATGTGTCCACTCAAGTCCGACCAGTTTTCTGAGATAATCCTCCATTGGTGGTGCTCAAAACTCGCTTCAACATAATATCCTCAATTTTCAGATTCCACAGACCTCTCTTTTAATATCCGCTGCTCCTTACGAACACGCATTCGCTCTTTGAAGTCCTCCAACTCTTTCCTCTGAAAATAAATATGGCACAATCATTAATATCAACACATTTTGCTGTCGATTTCAAAATGAAGAGAAAAATGACTCTAAATACAACAAAGATTTGCAATCTTAAGGTTGAATCATGGTGGAAAATGGGAAATAATAACAATAAATGTAGGATTATTAGCTTTTCAGTTACCCAACTGTTAAAAAAAGAAAAATCTTCATGTATGTATTAAACTTGGTTTTACAAGTTAAACTTGTGGTGTATTTTTTGAAGTTTTATTTCCATGGACTGTATGGATGAGCTCTGCACATTACACTTACATGCATTCTTTCGTCAGGGGGGAAGATCTCCCTCTGGATACCACAAAAGATGCCATCATAGTACCGAGAAGGACACATTTAATTATTATATTATTACAAGACTACCAAGTCGCAGTAAATGGACTGATATGTATGATCAAAAATATAAGTAGCATTACTCACCTTTCTCTTTATTACGTACTCTTCAAAGTACTCTGCTTGATTGGAGACCCAGAACATGGCCACAGGAAAGGACAGATACAGCATCATCTGTTCAAAACAAATCCAAACAGAGCAGCTGGTGAGTGACAGTGGAAAACTGTTACCTCATGTGCACAGTGGCCTTATGATAGAGCTTTGTTAGCGAGATCGAAACAGGAAACCTGGGCCGACTTGTACGAGATCAAGCACTGAGATTAATACATATTAACGTTGTTTTAAAATGAGTCCTACTTACTCTAAACACCTCTATTTTAACACCCATTTTCACATCGACTCCGAGCCCACCGCGGTGAAATCATCCAACCATCGCCAAAGACCTTCAAATTACTTCCGGGTTTCTAGAAAGTGCAAGCACTTCAAAGCCAGTGCGCATGCGCGTGGGTTGTAAGAAATAAATATTTTCAACACGGCTGAAAACAAACAAATATGTGACGTGCTTTTCCCTATATATTTTTGCAGCTTAATTAAATAGAATTTGGAGATCTCAAAATCTGAAAAAAAAAAAATCTCCAACTTCTGGATCACAGCTGACCTTCGGTTGAATAAAGGCATTTTGCACAGTGGTTGTCCACTAAGAGGCGCTGCAAACCATTGATTTTGTCAAGATGTCCTGTCTCTGTGCATTTAATGTAAGCTTTACATTAATTATCTACAAAGAACCTAACACTGGATGTTATCCAACCCCGTTCTACTTACCATTAATGTAATAAAACATTAAAAAAGTGACTGAGTGAGTTGATAGTAACCTTATTTTTCAAATATATTTAAATACAGTGATATTACCAAACACATTTAACTGTATCGTCCATCTCATTTGAACTCAATTTTTTGGAAACATCTGTTTTAAACTAGTTTTTCTTAACTCTCACCTAGCGTAGGAAGTTAAATCAGATCTAATCTGATCAAAAACATACAGAACAGAAAACTGCCTCTGAAGGTTAGTGGGTCTAACGGTGGACACTGATACTTTTGGGAACAACTATGGTAGCTGTAACGTGAGGATAAAGACAGGAGAACCAGACGATGAGGATAAATACTATTATGTGTAGTAGTAGAAGCTGTTTTTGTGTTTATTCCTTGTCTGGCACTGATACATTGATATGCTCTGAGAAGTTGATTTTACAAAAACAGTTTATTAACTTGATTTTAGCGCCGTGCAGTACCTTTTTTTTTTTTAAAAAAAAAAACAAAACAAAAACAAAACAGTCCCCTGTATTTTCCAAAGCACCAGTGTCCCTAAATGTCCCGTTTTGCCACGTTATCCCGGGGCACAGATAAGACACCACTTCTCCCCCTCAATCGCCGCTAAAGTTGCGGTCGGTCGGTCTGTGACGCGCTCTTTTTACGTCCTCGGCGAAAAGACCTACGCGTGACGTCATCGACAACGAGAGGTGTTCACGATCCTCGGAGAGAAAGATCCCGCGCGCCCTGGCAACCTGATAAACCCAGGTAAACGCCGTTGTTTCAAACCATTATTCTGCCAGTCGTCTTGTCTCGGTGAACCGAATGAGTAGACAGCGAGAGACGCGGTCACAGCAGTGTAAAAAAAAAAAAGGGGGCTCAAGAGTTAACGCTGGTGCCCGGCGCCCACTGAGACCGTTCACTTGCACGGCGGCCTGTTCTGGCTAACTAGCTTGCGAGCTAAAGCTAGTTGGCAGTTGTCTTATCAAAAGACACAATAACCGCACCTACGTTGTGTGTCCGTCTGACACCCCTTGCCTGTCTCGCCCACCGTTTGCCACAATTGCGCCACAAATAGCCCAACAAACGCCGCTGCGACCACCGTGTTGGGCATCTATTGCTAGTTCGCTCGTCGACCGTCTTGTGTTGTGGGAGACGGTGACGCCGTCACGGTGATGATGGCGCACACTCAGACTGAGGCTATTTGGTGAGAAAGCGGCCAGTGGAGCGGAAAACACAAAAATACGACTGCAGTGTTTATTGTCCGGAGCTCGCCGCCACGGTGTTGGTGACAGAATATCTCCCATCTTCGCACGGTTTCAGTTTTGCTCTGCACAGAACTGACGTCCATTACGAAACCCAGGCAATAATCTGTGCCCTGTGGCCTAAGCTCCTCGACGATGGTCGCTCGCCAGCAGTCATTACTTTGCAATTTATCGTTTTTATTCGCCACATCTGGTAATGGTCCCTATCCCAGACAGATGTGTCGGGGTTCGCAGTGTTCATGTGGTTGGTATTGTAGACACAAAGCAGTGGTGTTCAGCCGACTGGTGTGCTCAAACAGATCATGCAGAGGCCCGTTACTTAACACACTGTCCCTGCTGTTTTCCTTGCAAGAGGAATCCTCGATACTACAGTTTTATTTCTTACTGTAATTGTTGCCTATCGCTTTCAGGTCTTTGTAATGGAAAACACTAATCTACCTACAGTCACATGGTTGTTTTTTGGATAGGCTTATTTGCCTGAAAGTGCACCAAAGTGAAGCAGTTTAAAGCTCTTGGCCAACTGTGACTGCTTACTCATGTATTTTCTTTGCCACCCTCTTTAAACAGTGGTTTGTCAGTCTGTTACCCACACCTGTATGTATTGGGAGTGAATGAAAGCTGTGGGGTTTTGTGAGGAAGTTCTGTGTGTCACTGGTTTTGGTATAAAAGTGTTCTCACTATCTACACCTTGTAAGTGTGTAAATAAAGAGGATGAATTGTGTCAAAGGGCACTCAGTTACAAGGTAAGCAGTAAATCAAACAAGGTCTGTGGGCTGACCTATTAATCACGTTATTTTTTTCTCCCAATGGAAATTGATCGACTCAACAGCACCGTAAGATTGTTTGTTGTGTAAGACTATGTCAGAGTGCTTGCAGATACCAGGAATGATTAGGGTTCATAGAGCTGAACTATTCATTTCACCTTTAAAATAGTAGTGATGATTGTTGGTTTTCCATTTCAAACTCACGAACCGCCCAAAACATTTGTAGGTTTCTAAAAACAGCTAGCCCCGACAATATGTGTACTACATAATCTACAGACTCGGGTGAGTCCGTCCGTCCGTCATTTTGGTCATTACCATGTCCTATTCTAAAGAACACACTCTTCTCGCCCCCGTTTTTCATTTTCTCCTTTATTATTTTATTTTTTTTTTGTAATTCCTTTTTTAGGTTCTGTTCTCTCTGGTTTAGTTGCCATGGTAACACCATCCTTGGCCTAGTTGTGAATGACCTCTGAATGAAAAGGAGAGTGTGTGGTCAGGGAACAAATGAGCGAAGCAAACAAAATCTATTTTAGTGTGTGAGTGCATGTGCTTCATTTATCACTTCTGGATCATTTGTGTCTTTGTCGTACTGGGAAAAAGGACAATATTGACGTTTTGTTTTTATTTTCTGCTGACCAATAATTTCTATTGCATTTTAAGCTAAAACCTATATTTTCTGTTTGATTTCTAAAGCCATTAATGACGGTCTGCTCCTGAGGCCCCTATTGATAAAGGTTTTAATGTCAATAAAATCACCCAATGTAATGCCAATCACTGGTTCATTTTCTTCCTGGTCATTACTTTTATAGAAAGCATAATCGCCACTTCAAAGCTACAGTTTGCTTGTTGGTCATCCATGTATTTTTTTTATATAAACAAAAATGTAAATCATGTAAGGTTGATAATATGATAACATATTCACACAGTGACTTTGGAAAACATGAAAAAAAAATTAAATGCTTACATCATCCTTTGTTGGTTAGATTAATACATAGTGTATTAATCTAACCAATAGACCAATAGGCTGTCTGTATAATATTACACATGAATAATGCTTTTAATAAAATATGCTGTTGAATTTGCAGATTTTCAACAATATTTGTCTGAGATTTATTTAGAGCAGACATTGATACGGTCCAGTCGTACGTGAATCACGTCACACCTCACAAACCTTTGCCAAACACGTTCTTGCGTCACAATGTTCTATTAATAATGTCTGACACATTAGCATGTCACCTTTTTAAGTTGATATAGTAAACTTGTGGGCTTGTCATATTGCTTATTGACACATGCAGCAGTTAGAGAGCAACATTTGGAGACGTGTCGCTGTGGCCACCTGGAAAATGTAAGTCCCATATTCACTCTCCTCTATTTTAGTCAACTACTGAGTAAAATAGTTAATACTTTTGTTGCTAAATTCTCCACTATGTTCACCAACTAGTCGTTAATGGTGTCTGCCCACTGTATGGTGCTGAGCTAGTTGTGTCCAGTAGGTTTTTAGAAATTCTTCGTTGCCCGCTTTGGTTGAAAACAAAGCTATGCGTGAACCAAAACAGTGAAGTTGTGTGTTGACAGCTCAACAATGAGCGGAGACCAGCTGTAAAGCTCCATAAAGCAGAGGGGAGCTTCAGATGTGGGTGGTAATTCTCTGTAGGTTCATCACTACGAACATCTCTTCTCACATTGTCACATAGTTTTCACATTGTGATTTAATACATTATTACTGTAGACATACTGATTTTATATGAGCTTTAAGAACCATTCTGAATACATATTATTTCAGAAGATTTCCCTGTTATACAGCGCTATCTAAAATGCTGGCTATTATGTTTTGAAACTTAGTTTCCATGAAAAAATTTAGTAATTCTTCCTTTAAAGTCTAGAAAATATAAAAACAAAGTATTTTGTTTAAAATACATGAGCTGAGGTTGAAGTGTTAATACATTTATGGATTGCTAAGGTTCTGTGTCTATGGTTGACATAAAAATAAGTTGAAAGGTCACTAATCAGGGACAAGGCCCAGATATACTTTGCAAGTGAAATCTATAATAACTTCTAAAGTCCATAGGTAGTAAGTCTGAAGATGCTTAAAGAGTTACTATAGTAAACCTTTATAGTATTTCACGTCCGCAAAGTCGGAGGACTCACAAGAGACAGTTTATAAATGGTTAAAATCAAAGCAGCCTAATCTGACTGTTAGTGTCTTGCATGATGATAACATCAAGGTTATTTCTTCAAACTTCAGACAGCTTCTTTCAGAGCCAAAAAAGATTCAGTAGCTGGCTAGAACTCCTTGAAACAAGCAAAAGGCAGATTGGTGGAGTGATCTGGGTCCAGTAAGAAGACTGGAGAGAAGATGCGGGAGATGCTTGGATTGTCGTCTACAGGTTGTTAAATAATAAGAGATTTTCTGGGTGTAAAAAAGATTTCAGTTAAGGCACAAATAACAAAGGTTTTTGATATTTTTATATTGTATCTCTTTAACCATCCTTATTGTTTTTCACAATGTATATCTGAATATACACAAGTGCATGCTACACCATGTCAGGTTGGCAAATTGCCTGTTCTCTGTTTTCTCTACTCCGGGTCCCTGTAGATTTCGCCTACTCCAGTGCTCTGATGATTAATGGAAGCACCCTCAGACTTTCTCGCAGAGTCTCATCTCTGTGTGCGCTGCTGCCTTTCCGTCTGACCCAACCCCAGTGTAAATGCAACCCTCTCCTTCGCATTCCCCCTTCCTCTCGCTATCATCCCTCCCTCCCTCCTTCACTGTGTCTGAATACAGTCTCCCCCCGCCCTTCCAGTGACAGGGCCATCGGTTTGGCCTCCTCTGAATTGCTGTAGGTTGGAGCTTTGTCACTCTGGCAGCTGCTTTATTGTCTTTGGGAATGGTGCATATGGCACGTGGACAGGGAAGTGGGTCTGTGAGGACGCGGAGTCTGGCTGCAGCGCAGATGAGCTGCTGTGTATTTCGTTTCGGAAAACCCAAATGAAACACACACCAGTCACCTGACAAGTATACATTGCACATGGCGGCTCTTTACTCACCTGATCTGTCCGGGGTTTGACATCTGACTGCTTCTGAAACTTTGTGGGTGTGTGCCTATTTGCATTCACGTGACACTTACGATTGAGAGTTCAGTGGTCAACTTGCCTCTAGTAGCATATTAGCTACATAGACCTATAATGTGTTGGGTTTAATGAACTGCGATGTACACTAAAATGCAATGTTTTACAGTTTAGGGAGTTAGGGTTAGGGTTATGAGTCATGAAATGTCTCTACACCTCTCATTTAACCCTAACTGGGAAATGTGCTCATGTTCTGTCTTGATGTTTGGTGAACAGGAGGTTTAGTGCTTCTTTAACAGAGTTAAGAGGCTGCATTATCTGGGTGGGTTGGACATTGGTACAGGGTCTTGGTATGTCACATTTGTCTCCTGAGATTGTATCTTGAGTTGTGATTGATGTGCACATATGTTCCCCAACTTGTACCATCCCCCACTCAGAGAGTTCCCTGTACATTTTGGCCCTTTACAGGCATTATGCAGGTATTATTAGGCAGCATTTACTAGCACTTCTGTATTTACCTGGCCTACTAAGAACTAGATTTTTAGTTTTTGTGAATTATTTTATTAGTTCTTTCCCTTGATAAGATCTGACGAAGCTTAAAGCATGTGGTCACAGTTGTATCCACAGTTAAATTTGTCTAGACATCATAACATTACAAATGAATATTGGC